CCCACCCAATTTGGTGTCGTCTGCAAACTTACTGAGGGTGTTTTACTGTTTGTCACTAAAACTCCAGTGGAGGAGTGTAATGATGTTGAGCAATATGTGATTCTGTTGATCCCTGAACACTTGCAGATACGGCTTTGTTATGCCCCTGTGAGAGGTAGTAAACGATCCCATTTTAATAGAGTGGGAGGAGGATGTGTTACTTAATTACAAAATTACTTAATTTTGCAGCGTAAATAGCTTGGGGGGAGTTGTCGTGTCCCCCCCCATGATACTAGTCTTTCTACTTAGAAATCTTGTAAGCTTTTTTTTGTGTGTGTGTTTCTGAAAACCAGTCATGGTGTACCAAATCTGGCACAGAAAAAGGAAGGGCAGGGGAATTAGGATGTGGCAGTAGATGCAGAAATGTTAGAAGGCAAAAAAACAGACAGCAAAGGAAGGGAGATGCTTCATATTGATGAGATAATAGTTGTCCAGGTACTAGTGGTAAGGCAATACATAATGCAGCTAGAATGCAAAGTGTGGATAACAAGAAACAAATGTAAAAATACAAATGCCAGGAGCCTGGGCAGAAAATAAAAATATTTCTGAATGGGTGGTGCTGTGGGGATCATGGAACAACACAAAAAAAAATGATAGAATAGTGTTAATGACTAGGACATGGTTTTAAAATGGGAACATTCTGTTACGGAAAGATGGCAATAAAAATATGTGCAGTGATGAGCTGTAAAGCATTAAGAAATAGAATGGGTGAAGTCATAGGTGGGAGCCAGATTTCTTTGGGAAAACGGTGGTAAACAAGATTCTGGTGGAGTAGAGGCAGATGCTCAGTGTGTATCCTCCTGATCTGATTTGGAGGTGGATAATAAACCTTTGTCATATTGCAAGTACAAATATTTGTGGGAGCATTTTTTTTTATGTTACTTGCCAGCTGTAGTGATAATGCTATGAATAACTTAATTGTCATATCTACAATAGAGGGTTCTTTCCAATTAATGACACAAACTGTGAATTTGTCATAACAAGCAAGGGGATATGGTGGCTGCGGGGGCCACCTGAGTGAGTTAATCACCTTCAGAAAAATATTTGAAGTAAGTGTTGGGAAAAGATGAAAAATCCATGTTTTAGAAGTCAAGATATGCAGGAATTAAAAAAAAATGCAAAAGGTTGAGTGGAATTAGCATCAGCTCAGTATTTTGATTTGCCTTCAGGGGTGTAAATAGGAAAGGTCGGATGCAGAGGCAGATGGACTGCTTGCGGTGAGGACTGGGTTACAGATAACAGTTTGGAAATATTGTGTGAAAACTAAGAAGATACTTTGCTTCATTTCTCAGTACAGGTGTGGACACTGCACAGGCAAGATGGATAAATAGCAAGAATAATATTCAAATGAGAATTGCTATACTTCCATCGAAAACCAAACTGAAGGAGTTGGTGTACTTAAATTAGGGAGACAGAATAATCTTTTATCACAGAAACCTGAAGTTTTAGGGCATGGAAATGCAAGTCTTTAGCAACAAGCATCTTTAACATTGATCAAGTTAGTGTTGGAGAATCATAGACTTTAATGGCAACGGTTATGGAAGGGAGGAAAAAAATCAAATTTAATTTCTGTAATGTGACATCAAAAGGGTGTATTGCCTCAGAATATGTTTGGAAGATAAGATCTGAAACAAGCTTCCCAAGAGTAAAACAAATGAGAAAACCCAAGAGTTTTTAAAATAAATAAATAAAATAACTAACAAAACCCCTGTTGTATTCCCAATGTCAAACTGAACTATCTGGATTCTGATGAAGTATCTGGTATGTGGGGAAATTGGTGCTGAAAGTCAGGTTAGTAGAACGGTAAAAATAAGTAAAGAGATGCTGATGAGTGGGAAACTGGCCATGGGGAGTGTTGAAGGGTAGAGTGGGGAAATGATGCTGCTAAGGTTGGGAATGGTCTTGTTCATTATTTCATTAATGATCTTATGCATAAATGTTAGGAATAAGTACATGACACTTTGTCGGGGGCATAGGAGGCATTGTCGGAAAAGGAGGACCTGAGCATTATACAGAAAGCAGTAGGGTAATAGATATGGGTCAAAAAATACATATATTCAAGGTCATGGAGCTGGGAGTTACTAGTGAACTGGGAGATGATGGGTCATAAAGAACTGAGACGAGCGTGCATGTACTGACCAGTCACTGGGTGGCCAAGAGCTGCTGTTCTAAGGCAGTGGTACCACAGGCAGATGCAGCGTAGGGCTCGTTAACCCGATGTTTCCAGTTGAGAGATGAAAGCATCAGTGTGGTTTTGCTGGATCCTGATGGGACCTTGTGTAGAGTAACACTTGGCCTTGCTCAGCAAAGGTGAGCTGAAAATCATAGAATAGAATCATAGAATGCTTTGGGTTGGAAGGGACCTTTAGAGGTCATCTAGCCCAACCCCCCTGCAGTGAGCAGGGACAGCTTTCACCAGATCAGGTTGCTCAGAGCCCTGTCCAACCTGACCTTGAATGTTGCCAGGGATGGGGCATCCACCACCTCTCTGGGCAACCTGTGCCAGTGCTTGACCCACCCTCATTGTAAAATATTTCTTTCTTATGTCTAGTTTAAATCTATTCTTCTTTAGTTTAAATCCATTATTCCTTGTCCTGTCACAACAGGCCTTGTTAAAAAGATTGTCCCCATCTTTCCTGTAGGCCCCCTTTAAGTATTGGAAGGCCGCACTAAGGTCTCCCCGCAGCCTTCTCTTCTCCAGGCTGAACAACCCCAACTCTCTCAGCCTGGCCTTGTAGCAGAGGTGTTCCAGCCCTCGGATCATTTCTGTGGCCTCCTCTGGACCCGCTCCAGCAGGTCCATGTCCTTCTTGTGCTGAGGGCCCCAGAGCTGGACGCAGTACTCCAGGTGAGGTCTCACCAGAGCAGAGCAGAGGGGCAGAATCACCTCCCTCGACCTGCTGGCCACACTTCTTCTGATGCAGCCCAGGATACGGTTGGCTTTCTGGGCTGCAAGCGCACATTGCTGGCTCATGTCCAGCTTTTCATCCACCAGTACCCCCAAGTCCTTCTCGGCAGGGCTGCTCTCAATCTCTTGGGGTTGCCCTGTCCCAGGTGCAGGATCTTGCACTTGGCCTTGTTGAACCTCATGAGGTTCACACAGGCCCACCTCTCCAGCTTGTCCAGGTCCCTCAATGCATTAGCTTGAAAAATGACTGGAAGGATAAGAATGAAGCCTGGTTTATGAGAAGAGACTAAAAGAAGTAGTATAGCCTAGAATTAAGAATTAAATGGGAATTTGGTTTAAATCTAAAAATAAAGTAAGGAGGACTTAATCTAAAGGTCAGTGAGTATAACCTGACAATGAAAACATAAAGACGGAAGGGTGTTTCTGAGCATTAGAGCATCACAGTTCTGGAATAGCTTTCCAGTAGGGAAAGTGAGGGTGGAAGCTGATCTGTTAATGAAGGGATGTGTATTGTTTCTGGTGCTAGCAGAGGACTGAGTTTGATAATCCAAGGAAACCACACCTGGATTCTTACATAAGTAATGAGAAGCCTCCTGGGTTATTTCACATGTGGAGATTTTGCTGTAAGTTGTTACTGCTCTAGACCATGGAAAACCTGAGTACTGATGCTGCAGGAATTTTGAATACTCAAGTTGGTACTCTACACACTTCTCAGTGGATTTTTAATGGAATTTCCTAGATGGAAACAACCACAAGCAGCTATTATGCTTCTGCTCCATGTTGTCTGATCTATGGCTGGTGTTTTAGCTCAAGAATACAGTATGGCAGTGGTAGACTATTTGCTCTGTTTGCTTTCTGTTTAAAGGAAGCAGTGGGATATAGTTTAATTCTAATACAGAGCGTTTTCCGGAGAGCTGCCACATGTAGGAACAGCTCCTATGCTGTATTCCCCTCTTTGGCAAGCTGTGTGGTGTGGTGATTAGAGCAAAATGTATGTAGCTGAAATGCACGCATTGTATTCGTGTTAGATGCATGCAACTCATCCAAATGTGATCACAAAGGTGGTTTAAGTGGTAGAAACTCCATTTTATAGGTGTTTGCTCAAATAAACATGGTTGGGTGATTTGCTTTGGTGTCTGTTTTGTAACCGAGGTTCTTCACTGCAATGAAGATCTGGTTCTCACTTGTCCAGTGGTGCCTGCTTGGCCTCTCAAATTCTCACCCAGCTAACTTGTAGTATAGGAAAATGCAACTGATTTTAAGATTTTATTCAGTAATCAGGGCTAGGAGATACAGCAAGTGGTGAACCAGCATGGGAAGATGACAGTTAGAATTCATGGACTCCTGATAGCAGGGTGGGTTGGTTTGGGTTTTTTTTCAGTTTTTAGATTGTTTAAAAAAAAGTTACCGGTTTAGATGTGCTGTGCCTCATTGGTCAAATAGCCTGTAAATTTGTTTAATTCTCAGTTTGATATAGCTGATGGTGATGTGCTTTCTCTTTTTTCAGTGCTTGCACCTCCTCCACCACTGCCACCACCAATACAGGGATATGCCTTTAAACCTCCTCCTCGACCAGATTTTGGCACTTCTGGGAGAACAATCAAACTGCAGGCCAACTTCTTTGAAATGGACATTCCTAAAATAGATATCTACCATTATGAGTTGGATATAAAGCCAGAAAAATGCCCTAGAAGAGTTAACAGGTAATACTGTGCTTTGCTTTTCCTCAGTTTATTTATGTTCTTGTTTTCCTTTGAAAATGCTGGAGCTGTGTCTTTGTTGAGGGCTTGGAGGATGTGTTTGTCTTTAGTCGTTGTTTGTACTGATAGCTTCCAACTTTGCATATCCATCAACAGGCATTTTTTTTTTTCTCTAAGTCTTTCTGTACCAATCCAAGATTTCAGTGCTAATCATGCCTTGTTTTGGTTGAACTTGTCAGCATTTTAAGATGCTGCTGATCAAAGCCACTGGTGACAGATGGATAAACTGTATTAACTCTAGCGGAGGTAGGTCAGTGTAAGTCAACTTGATAAATCTGATTCTTAGCATTGCTTGGTTAAATATTGGAGTGCAGTTGGCTGACAAGTCCTTCAGCAGGGAGTTGGTGTTACCAGCTTGTTTTCCCACCTTCCCCTACTGACAAGGGGAGGCAAAACCCATTTGTTTATGCTGCTGCGGGAGGATCGTGGAGGGACTAAATTAGGTAAGAAATTATCCTTCATCAGTAGATTCTATATAAGGGAAAGATATGCTCCTGAACCAGATAGCAAAGTGAAAAAATGGATCAGTTGGCCAAGGAAACAAGCAATTAGGTCTTGCATTATGCATATGTGCCCTGTTAGTCACAGTGTGGCAACCTCATTGACTTGAAAAAAGAGTGGCGTTGCCAGAAGTGAAACTTGAGAACAAGACTTGGCACTAACTGGAAACCACAAGTGTCATCATCATAACTACCTATATCTTGACTGTAGAGGATTGGAATGGCCTGTTTATATATTCAAGAGCAAAACCTTTCCTTATTAAAAGAGGTAACATAGGTGGAGTATGCAGTCATGGACACGAACAAAGTGTGGAGTCAAGCCACCCGAAAGCCAAAGTTTTCTTAACGTGAATTAATAAACCGGAGTGCATTATCCATCGTTATACTAAAGAGTCAGTAATGATAGCATTTTCATAAAGCACCATCACTACGCTTTGCTGTCTTGCGTTTTTTTCTGTGGTGATCTATTATAAATTTAATTTTTAAGCTGGTCAAGAATTGAATTTAGTTTTAAAAGCAAACACTGTTGTAAGTGTATTAAGCTGAACTGTCTTCTTGCCCAAGGGCAACCCTGCTGATTTCACCGAGATATTCTTACTGCATTGGAGCACTGAAAAGATTTTCAGCAGTCACTTTTTTCATAGTGGGAGCTGTGAGCTTTGCTTTCATTAACCAACATCCCTGCCACCAGCTCCAGCCCTGACAAGTGGTGTGCTGCTGACTGAAGCAGATTGCCATGCCTCTGGAGCTCCGCTGGGAGCCGAGTGCGGCACAGCTCTTGTGTGTGTTGTAGTTCTGTGTGATCACCTCCGTTACGGTCCAGCATGTGGGTGCTTGCTCATCGATGCCAGAGAGCATAATTATTAAATAATAAAGCAATTTTTCTCACTGGAAAGGCAGTTTATATTCAGTGGCAAGTTCTTTCTCCACTGACAGCTTCCAACCTGCTCTGCTTTGTCAGGTTAGTCACTCCTTGTGGTAACAGGAGCAAGTCTAAATCTACGTAGGTTAAATGCCTTTTGCAGTAAACAAGGACGTCATAAATGCATTTGACAGAGGTATGGGGCATGTTTCTCAGTGCAGTGTGGGAAGAATAGAAATTGATTCACTTAATGAAGTGTATGTTTTATTTCTTTCTCATGCTTATTCCTGCATGCATTACCCTGTAGGTGTACATGCACTCACCTGCGCCTGAGTTTTTGTGAGCTGTGACCTTTCAGTCCTACATATACACCTATATTTTTGTGTGTGCTTATAGATACATAGATAGGATTAAGCAGGGTGCACATGTAGTCTAATTCTAAATGATAGTTTTTTCAGCTGGCTTACACATTTCTAGTATTTTGGTTATATAATTCAGATGCATATTTATAGTAAATAGTTTTTATCATTACTTTATATGTTGTAACCTCTAGAAAGGATAGAGGGAGAGTTTATTTTCATTTATGCTACTCCCTCATCTGTCCCAGCTTCGTTCTTCAGTTTTATTCTAGGATTTACTGTGGCTTGGATTATGACCCTGCAGACCCACTGCAGGGATGTGTACAGTGTACGTGCAGGCTCTGCGCTGATGAGACATGAGCTAGAGCAGGACTGGAAAACACACAGCTGAGACAACGTGCTGCTGTGCCAAGTTAATACAGCCTGGCTACAATTCTTCATATGTCACAGAAAGCCCAGATCTGTTTGGATAGTTAAGATAGGGAGAGTGGGCAACGTGAGTGTGGTTCTGTGCTGTGGGTGCCCTCGGTTTAATTCATGAGGGCAGCTAGGACTTGTAGAAGGGTCCAGATAAACTCTTTGCAGTCGCAGTCCCCGAGTTCTTGGTGTGCTTGCATGATCTCAGTAGAATAGTAGTCCCAAAGGGCTGAAGTTAGTGAACTGGTAAATAACTCTTCTTTTAACTTCACACGGAGAAAATAACTTACTTTTCATTAAGATGTCTCCACCCACAGCTGAGAAGTGCCATTGCTAAATGTGGTGTGAAGCTTGAAAACCTTAATTAAGTGGAAATGTTCATTTTTATATGAAGCAGTTCATAATCGGAAGAACTTGCTCAGTAAGAGAATGGGTTTTCCATTGCTCAGTCTTTAACTCAAGGTTGAAAAATACCTCCTTCCTCCCACCCTCCAAATTATGTACTTGTTCAGTCAGACATTGCAGACCTGAGGCAGAAATTACTGGGTCAAGTTGTATTCATACTTCTCAGGAGGTCAGGCAAGTTTCTTTCAATGGTCACATCTTGTCTTAAAGCCTTGGGACACAGCAAAGAAATTGTCAATTAAAACAGTCTTCATTATTTTCTTGAATGAATTCAGAATTTCATTTCATAATTTTCCATCACTGTACTATCTAACTGTACACTGGGTTAGTTGCCTTTCCAAGTCAAGGTGTATGAAATAGTCATCTGCAGCCTCTGAGCTGCTAGTTTACAACGGTACTGAGGAAAGAGCATGCTGTGGTTTTCTTTCTCTGTCAATTTAGTGCCCTTTTGGCCCAAGCTGTATGTTAAGGATCTTGTAGGCAGCATATTGCAGACCACTGATGGATTTCAGATTTTAAAGCCTTGTGATACAGATAGCCTGAAGGATGTCTCTTTGGGACATTTGGACCAAAGCCCTTTGGCATCAAAGGGTGGTGGTGTTCCAAGAGACCTCTCATCGGCTGGTGAACTGCTTTGCATGACCAATGTGTAAACACTGTGGTCTCACAACAACGTTGTGAGTGGTTACCTCATTCATACAAACGTACAACCTAATTCCAGCTATACTTAAATGAATATGTTTTTTTAATATGCATGGGCCCCAGTGAATATGCGTATCCAGGTTTTTTTGATCCCAGTTTTGTTGTATACATGAAAAAATTACATTGAAAAGTAAGCTTTCTCAGTGCAATGCAAGAAGTTTGCATATCACTGTCATCACAGAACTATCGTCCTTACACTAGGGCTGTAAGCTTGGATAGTGATTTTTTTTTTTTTTTTTTTTTTTTTTTTTTTGAAAGCTTTTCAAACTGCTGAGCTTTTGGTCCATGGTGCTGTGCAGAAAGGGCTGTAGGACAGGGGAGCAGAAGCCCCAGAAGAATACCAAGCACCTCTCATTTTGAGCTTGAGAGAGCATGAGCTTTCGCTTTACCACTTTCAGGTCACAGAAAAGAGGAAGGAAAGTTTCGATCTGAAAAAGCTAAAAATAGCTGCTTTAAGAAAACAGTTTAGTCTGAAAAGGTTGCTTTAATTCAGATCAGTCAAACAAATCTTGCCTTTAATACCCAACAGTGGACAACCCTTTCATTTACCTAATGCCTCTATTCATAAATATTAGTGTTAGCGTTCATATGCTACTTAACATCAAAGGTAAAAAGTTGAATTAACATAATCTTTTTGTATTTTCAGAGAAATAGTGGAGCATATGGTTCAGCACTTTAAAACCCAGATTTTTGGGGATCGCAAACCAGTGTTTGATGGAAGAAAAAACCTTTATACAGCTATGCCGCTTCCCATTGGGAGAGATAAAGTAAGTTTTAAATAGAAAAGTTTCTAATTGGAGATTTTAATGTAATACTTGCAGAGCCTTTCTAATAACTGATAGGAACTGATTTTGTATTTCTGGACTAGATGTCTCCTTCTGTTACCACTTTGCTCAGGGTGTGGTTTGCCAGGGCAGAAGTGTGAGCTTGTTGCCATCAAAATGGGCACTGCCCTTTCCATGTACCTTCTTTCCTCCCTCTCTTTCTCCCCACTCACGTGGTTTCTGCTGGTTCAGTGAGCTGGACAACTGCCTGAGGCGCCAGACAAGCTCCATACTGGCACTGGAATCATAGAATCGTTTAGGTTGGAAAAGACCTTTAAGACCAATCAAGTCCAACCATTAACCTAGCACTGCCAAGTCCACCGCTAAACCATGTCCCTAAGTACCACATCTGCACGTCTTTTAAATACCTCCAGGGATGGTGATTCAACCGCTTCCCTGGGCAGCCTGTTCCAGTGCTTGACCACCCTTTCCTTGAAGAAATTTTTCCTAGTCCAATCTAAATGTCCCCTGGTGCAACTTGAGGCCATTTCCTCTTGTCCTAGGACTTGTTACTTGAGAAAACAGATGGACACCCACCTCACTACACCCTCCTTTCAGGTAGTTGCAGAGAGCGATAAGATCTCCGCTCAGCCTCCTTTTCTCTAGGCTAAACAACCCCAGTTCCCTCAGCCGCTCCTCATAAGACCTGTGCTCCAGACCCTTCATTAGGGAGAAAGCGAAAGCACAGTTGAGTTTGGGAGAGGGGAGCGGAAGCACCCCTGTGGGCAGGAGCAAGCTGTTGTGTCAGTTTGTTAATCTCCTCAAAGCCCACTGTAAGCTGATTCTCACTTTCCACTAGCTCGAAGAAACTCCTCCATCCCTCCGCTGGCAGTATGGAGGCACTTCCCTAATCCTTTATGACGTGAGAGCCAAATTACTGTAAACTGCACAGGTTAAGACGTGCTAGCTTAGCCCTTTGGGCGATTGAGGAGGACTTGCATGTTCTGTTTGTCAGCTCTGTGTGGGGCACCCTCTTTGGTCACTCTGGCTGTAGTTATGAAGTGTACCCACCTCTGCCCATTGATGACTGGTGAAGCAGAAGGGACTGTGTTGGAACACGCTAACCCTATAAAATAATTTAGCCTATGCTTCTGTGGTCTAATATCAGATTGAATTTTGTGTGGCCTTTTTTATTTGAATGATGAGCACTTGAGGATACAGTCATTCTCATTACTCACTTATATTACAGCGTAGTTCCCAGAGGCCATTATACCCTCCTGCTGTGGGTGCAAGGCGAGGCATGTACATTTACTGGGGAAGACTGTCCAATCCTGTAGAATTTGATTACAACCTACCTAGACAAAAGTAAAATGTAAGGGGGAGAGGGAAATAGAGAAATGCGGAGACTTGCTTATGTGATAAAGCTGGGAACAGAGCTTAGGTCTTCCTAGATTGAGTAGCAGTGTGCTACAAAATAGTTCATGCTGTCCTTCTCTGTTTCATATTGTACGCCTGTGCGGTGCTTGACATAGTTAATAGTTCTACCTGAATCAAGCTCTTAATCTCATATGTGTAATTTTTATTTCTCCCAAGTGTATTTAAGTGTATGTCGTGCAGTAAAGGTCAGTCTCTACTCCAGTCTTAATTATTTTTCATTAACTGATAGGCTAATGTCTAGGAAGACTATAATTGAATAATTTAAAAGTATGAGAGTGAAATTTTTTTTTTTCACTTATAGTATTCCAATTCCTACAGATTTGACATGCAAGACTGCAAAATATTTGCTAAAGGTGGAATGATACTTGATGAGTGTCTCCTAGGGGTTTAAACAAGTTACCTTATAACTATAACAACATTCCAAGTTGTGGATGACTGACAATATATTTTATGATAAATATGAAGTTCTGCATTTAGTAAGTAAAGGTAAATGAGAAATGGTTTATCTATGGAGGATAAACAAGCTGGGATCAAATTAATCCTTGCATCTAATGAGACTTCGAGATGGAAGTTGACCCTACTCTGATTGGGAACTGGATGAGATGGCCTCCTCCTGTTCCTTCTGTGTCTGAATGCCTGCCGACTGAATAGGACTCGATTCTTGATGCTTTGGATTTTAAAGCCCACATATACTAAATCATACACGGTAAAAATGAAGTCTAGTGACAGTGTGTCAGCAGGAAATGCTTTTGACGCCCTTTTCCCTCGCGCTGACGCCCTTTTCCTTCGTGTCCGTGCAAATGAACGTTGTAACCTATACCTGGGAACAGGCTGGCTTTAATGACTGTAAACATCTTGGGTGGGACAGAATTATCTAGCCCAAGCGATGATCATTTGCAAAAGGCAGTCACTGAGGAGGGTGTTTTCAGTGGAGGTTAGCACAAGATGGTTCAGAGAGTTTCATCTGTGGTTCGCATTTAGGCTCGCTTTTACTAAACTCATTTTTTTTTTCCCCCTATTTCCCATGGGATATAGGACTTTGTTGGTTGTTCTGCCATGCATATATTAATATTATTACCCTGGAGGAAAGAGCTCATAGAGGTAAATCTTCAGCTGGTTCAAATCGGATGTGGGGAAATTTAGCTTAATGAGGGAAATTTTTACATGGTGCTAAATTGGTTTAAGCATGATTTAAACAAGTATAAAGCTTGTAGGTATTAGGACTTTTCTCTAGCATAATTAGATTAGGTTTCTTTGGGGGTTTTTTTGGCTGTTCTGTATGTAACAAATGTAGCAATTTTACTGCACATCTGATTACATTTAGGATCATATTGAAAAGATTCATGAACATACAATAATTAATAGATGATCCTTAATCTGAGTGGAAGAAGACCTTGACTTACTTGCAGTGTGCATTGGTAGTGGAAGAACTGATGCTAAACAGAAGGCTGACACCAAATTGCCAACATTTTTTTCCCTCCTGTAGCTCTTTAACTTAATTAATGCACTCTGTCCTCATCTCTTGTTGGTGATGGTCGTTCTAGGGTTGTTTTTTTCTCTGTCCTTGCTGACAACCCTGCTTCTTTTATAACTTTTTCTATTATACAAATACTTTTCTGCTTGGCCTTCATGGGTATCGTACCTATTTTCATTCCTTTCATACTGTACCTTATTTTCACTCTTTAATTCCTTCATTTCTCTAGACCTTCTGGAACAAATATGGAATAAGAAAATATTGTGTTAATATTTACATAGTTTTTACTTGTACACATTGAGAAGAAAGAAGTGTATAGAACCCTGTGAAGGTGTTAATAGTCTCCTCTTTCCTCGTAGGTTCTAACAGAAAGCCCAGGTCACCTCTAACTATGGCTTTGTATTCAACTGCTGTGTTACTTGTGTATTTCCCTAAAAGGTCCTTCTACGATTAAGAGCTAGAATTAAATTTTAACTGAACTTGAAAGTTTTCTCACCTCGTGAGATTCAAGAACAACTGATGTATCTTAACATACATCTTAAGCAGTCTTTAATTAGAAAACCAGTAATTACGAGTGAACCGAGCTGCAGTTTGATACAGAAATCCTACTGCTGTTCCCTTTTTCAGGAGGAGAGTGTTAATCCTGTCTGCGGCCACAACCTTGCTCCTTTTGTCTTTATTTGAAGTACTGCTAATGACTCTGACCATGATAGAAACAGACCTCTTTCTTACATCCATAGCTTAGAGATTTCCAAACAAGTCCATGGGAGGTAGGCACCCGAATATTTGATGGGAAACTCTGCATCTGTTTTCCTCTGAATCACTGGGAAGGAGAAGCTCTTAGATTAATACAGAAGAGGTACATTGTATGCTGAAAACATGGTAAAATAATTATGTAGTGATGCATATGTTTTTCAGAGAAGAAGGAATACTAAGAATTCCCCAGAAACACATGGTCAGGTTTAATTTTTATTATTTTTAAACAGTGATGTATGCTGGTTTGTGTGAGTCAATCAGACTACATCAGCTACAAGACCTTTTCTTTTTAAGATTTTCAGATTTTTCCACAGTCTTAATGACTTTTTTACATCCCTACAGTAACATCCCTTTCATTTAGTTCCTTTAGCTGCAAAATTATTTTGAAGTGGGGTTAGACCCAGCAGCAAAAGCTGTTTGGGCCAAATTCAGTGGTGTGAATTCACAGTCACAGCTATGCTAAACGTGATTAGGTATTGCAGTCTAGCAATTGGAATAGAAATTCTTCAATCCTGGGTCTTTTTTTCTACCAGGCACACAGATGCTGCAACACAAGTAGTCCCATTCTTCATCTTTTTCCATTTCATCACGGTGAAGGAGCTTTGTAAATTGAAATCAGGAGGGGGAAAAAAGGAAACTGAAATAATTTTTTGATTAAGGGTACCAAAGTTGTTAATAATCAGATGAGTTGCATATTAGCAGTATGGGGGAATAATAGAAATTACAAAACTTGATTTGGAGGAGGAGAGAAGTTTAAAGGAAAATGCAGTTCAGGTGTGACAGATGTCTTCCATCCGCTGTAAATGAGATGTAGGTTGAAGACCTTTTGATGGTGTGGTGGAGAAAAAAGGCTTCATAGAAAGCTTCCAACCTGTGTCAGCTGAAAACCTGTACCTTTATTTGCACAGCTTTTCAGCAGAATTAACCTTCTGGGCCAGATTCAGACCAGTGACCTTGCAATTACAGACTCCAGTTCCTGTTGCTCTCCCACAGCCCTATGGCTCCTTCCTCTGCTCAAGTCTCCTAGCGAACGATGTTTGTCTTAGAGGAGAGATGCAGCTGTAATATTAGTTTTGACTGCCTACTATAAATTGTCAACTTGGGTTTTTTTGCATACGAGAAGGCTTATTGTTTGTGTTTTATCCTTCCTTCCTATTTTTTAGCTGAAGAAGCTAACTGTCACAAAAGACCAGATGATTGCATATATTAGCTCGCCTTTACCCATGTATTATTTTTGCTAGCCCACTAATTACAGTTTGTCTGTTAAGTAGATGCCTTTTATATTTAAATTGTAAGCTCCCTAGGACAGGAAAATGCAATGTTTTTGTTTATATCCAGCACAAAGGATACTCTGATCTTGTTATTTCTTGTAGTCACTCCCAGAACTGCTAATCATTTCAGACAAGCCTTAATTTTAGTCAGTTTAAGAACTTCTGTGTTCAGGCTTTCTTTGTTTTAATAAGGAAGAGAAATGGGCATTACAAGTAATTACAAGTAATTGGCTGAAGTAATTTACCATAATGCAGTTTGCCAGTGGTTTTTAGACAAAAAAATTCAAAGTAGGGCATAACATGTCAAAGGAATGCCCCTATTTCCTTCCTGATAGCATCACTAGTACTTGGGGGGGTCATCGTTTCTTTATGTCTTTGGTATTTAAAAATAAAGAGTTTTTTGGGTTGGTGGGTTTTGTGGTTGGTTGTGGTGGTGGTGGTTGTTTGGGCGGGTGGTGGTGTTTGGGCTTTTTCCCCTTTGAAAGCTCCTTGTGGATTTTGTTTTCTCTCATTTGAACTATGTCTACAGTAATAATATGTAAAGCACTCTGGTGCTCTAGAGAGCCAATACCAGAAATTTGTGAATCTTGGCAGGTAGTGAGAGACCACGGTTTACTTTAGGCACACAGGAGCTGATGTGAGCAGTGATGCATTGGTATGTGTTAGGTATCTGAAATCAGGTTATCGGATCTTCACGGAGACGTCCCTGTTGATACACAAGCACTTCCAAATGATAATGTTGCCTCAAACAGGGAGATAGATGCTGGCTGGGAAGCACACCAGCTTTCTGAAATACACCTTTGGAAAGATGTAGCTGTAAAAAGAGGCTGTACCTAATGTATGTTGTTTCTTCATCATTGCTTTTTGTCTCCTCCCATACTTCATAGCACTGTTCAGAGGAATCCATCGTCCCTTCCAAGCCCCTTCCATTTTCCCCTTTAAATGGAAAGAATCATCTTGGTTTGTTGTTTGGCATTGTTGCAGGTGGAGCTGGAGGTCACGCTGCCAGGAGAAGGAAAGGACAGAATATTTAAGGTGGCTATAAAGTGGATGTCCTGTGTGAGTTTGCAGGCTTTACATGATGCTCTTTCTGGTCGGCTGCCAAGTGTCCCGTTTGAAACCATCCAGGCACTGGATGTAGTGATGAGGCACTTGCCTTCTATGAGGTGAGGGGAAGACCTTGACGTTGTTTAGGAGGTTGCGTTGTTATTTGAATCGCTTCAGTGGCTTTTTGGGTAGGACGTGCTTTCATAGCTCAACCAAAATAATAGCTATCTAGCAGATGGCGTGCTCAGGCAAGAGGCAATACGGTGCTTTCCTGCTCGTACGGTGGAATTAGTAGCCTCCAGCCTGGACACAAGTCCCTTTCCCCACTGGTCTTCAGACTGGCTCCATGTTTGTGTGCTCTCAGGTCAGGGGTGCCCTCCCATCTCACTCATACCCCATTTCTCTGTAGACCTCAGAGAAGGAAGCCCTCCCTGCATGGAAAGTAGCTGGAAGTTGTAGACATGTAAGGGTGGTTTTAAAAAACTTGTTACCCTGTTCCTATGTTTCCTTGGGCAGATGTTTATTGCCAATTTTGTATAAAGGATACTGTGCTAGGGGGATGCTAATGTCACCCAATATAGCTATTTTTATAGAAAAGAAAAACTTGAAAATGATTTGGTTTTTTTCCAAGCAGGCAAGATCTACAACATTTGCAGTCAAACCCAAGAGATCTTGGGTTTAATTCTACCATGAAACAAGTCACTTAAGACCACTGTTCAAATTACATTAAATTCGAAAATAAAGAACAAAGCTTAGTAGGGCTAAACTTTCCCATTTTGAAAGATAAATGGGCTAAACAGAGAAAATGAGTTAAATTTATGTGAATATCTTTAAATAGCCTTATATTACATTGACTTTATCCTCACATTAAGGATTAAAAAAAACCATAAAAATCACTTTAGTCGGGTTTTGCAACACAGAAAACAGCCCAGACTAGTCACACATCTTTGTTCAGAGAAACACATTAGTGCTGGTTTTGATTGGTTTGATACTAAGTGTGCAGTACTGAATTACCAAGATGAAAGATGCATCAAAAATATGTTAGATCAGTCATTCACCCACGCAAAGTTTCCATGGATTTCAGAGGAAGCTATGCACAAGTAAGGGGAGAGGTTATTACGTTGTTGTTTTAATAGCAGAGATATTTAATTATTTTCTTACTGAAGCGTAGCTGAATTTCTAATAGAGTACAAAAAAAATGTTAATGCTTTTTTTTTTTTTTTAAATAGTATGTATATTAAGGAGTATACTCAAAATAAATTTAAACAAACATGAGTAGTAGCCAGTTTCTTACTGTAACTAGCTGGGTTTTGAGAGGTGTAACCTGAGTCCTGACAGGAATCTCAGACTGTTGGTAATTTGAAACACTGGCATTTCTGTGCTTTTTTGAATAGGAATTTGTATTAGTTATGGCTTTATTGCTTTTTTTTTTTTCCTTTAGTTTTATGATCTGAATTTATTTTCTTTATTGCAGATATACTCCTGTGGGGCGATCTTTTTTTACAGCATCAGAAGGGTGCTCAAATCCATTGGGTGGTGGCAGAGAAGTTTGGTTTGGCTTCCATCAATCAGTCAGACCTTCATTATGGAAAATGATGTTAAATATTGATGGTAGGTCCTATAAAAATCTTTTCTTGTTCATTCTTTCTCTTTCAGTGGAAAGGCAAAAATTTAGTTCTGTTTGTTGGATTTCTTAAAGATTTCCTCAGTATTGTTGTAATATAACATTAATGTTTTTGTCTACAGTATCTGCAACCGCATTTTACAAAGCACAGCCAGTTATCGAGTTTGTATGTGAAGTTTTGGACTTCAAAAGTATTGAAGAACAACAAAAACCTCTGACAGATTCCCAAAGGGTAAAGTTTACCAAAGAAATAAAAGGTAATAATTAAATTACATAAAACTGCTTTATTCTGTCTGATGATGTGTTGCCACTACACGTTCAAAGTATCTTCTATAGCAGTTGCCTTACTGGGAGGCAGATTATCACAATGAACAGTGCGTGTACAATTTTTGAGGAGGCAAGAATCATTTTATTATTTACATATATTTCAAGACTTTCAGAAGTCTACTGATCAATTTTATGCTTCAGTATACTTGTCCTTTTTTCTTACTACATCGGTTAATCTCTGTAGCTTGACAGTCACTTTGTGAATATAAGCAAAGTTGGGTCAGTTCAGGTAAGTGTGTGGCTTCAGATTTGATGAATCACTAGCAAAAAAAGTTAAGTGAGCTTTCTTTTTTTCTTTTTTTTTAACCAGCCACATTTAGAGTTCAGGTATGCACATAAGTAAATTATCACATATTCGAGAATCTGTGGTAATTATACATGCATGTGCATTTTGCCTGTGGCAAATATAGGGTAGTTTAATTGCTGTGCCCTTAATGAAAGTGCTTTAGTGAAACCATGAAGCTGTTATGTTTTACTCTAAGCGATGGGATGAACTAAAACTTTCTAGCAGATGGATGGTAGCTTATTTTAGTGAGATTTGTTACTGGCCTGTGACTTGTGCAAGCTTCTCATTTAAGTGTAGGTTCTCTTGACACACCTTTGGGGGGGTGTTTTTTGGGGTTG